TTATAGTAATTTATACTGTTTTGTAAAGTAAATCTTACTGGATTGTTCCTGTCTTGGTCAATATATTTATGTATGATATAAGGCTCTGAAAATTGCATAGGTCAGTTTGAGGACTGCCATCTTTATGATTATGAGTTCTACTCATGAACTTGGTATGTAAGTCTCTCCATGTAAATTTTTAAAACCTTTCATTTATTTAGATCTTATTTAATATCTTTTAACAAGATTTAAATAATTTTATTCATAAGGTTATTGTACATTTGTTAAAGATTAATTCCTAGGTATCTTACATGATGTGACTTTTTAAGTTAAAATTTAAAACTTTTTGTTGCTGGAATGTAGGTATAGAATACCTATTTTTAAAAATTTTTTGTGTGTGTTTTTGGTTCGATTTTTTTTGTTTGTTTGTTTGTTTGTTTGTTTTTGGTGTGCTACCGGGAATCAAACTCAGGACCTTGCACTTGCCAGGAAAGCACTTGTGCCACTGAGCTATATCCCTGGCTAATACCTATTTTTTTTAATGGAACTGAATTCTAGGCAAGTGTTGCTTTCTGGAAGAAATTTATATTCCTTGTCATGTTTCAATTTTTTGACCTTTAATTTAAATGTTTTCTCTCTCATCTATTTGATAATTAAAATTTCAAAAAATAATAGATTAAAATTTCATTAGCTTACAAAGTGAGCTAAAGGCCAGCCTGAACTGCATAATGAGACCGTCTCAAAAAGACAAAAGAAAAAAAAATTTCATAAGCTTTATTATTCCTGTTTTCTTTATTAAGATATAATTCACATACTGTAAAACTTACCTTTTTAAGGTGTCAAGTAAGTGGGTTTTAGTATATCCACAGAGTTTTGCAACCATCATTGTCTAATCCAGAAAATTTTTATCACCCAAAGAAGAAACTGCATACTCCTTAGCTGGCACTTCCCATACCCAGCCCCAGGCGACCATTAATCTGCTGTCTGCCTCTATTAATCTGCCTATCTGGCATTTCATATAAGTGAGTCATTCAGTTTGTGATCTTTTGGGTCTGGCACAATGTTTTCAAGGTTCAACATAAAACTTTATTTCATTTCTTTATTGCTAGTATAATTCCATTGTATAGGTATGCCAGTTTTTGTCCATTTTAAAGTTAATGACGTGTGTTGGTTCTACTTTTTGGCTTTTATGAATAATGCTGCTATGAATATCTATGTACACTTTTTGTGTTAACATGTGTTTTAAATGTCTTAGGTGTGTAACAAGGAGTAGGGTTGCTAGGTCATATGAAAATTCTGTGTTTAACTCCTTAAAGCATAGATTTATTTTTGGCATTTACGACAGTAATTGATTTTTAAGACGTCAGGTTAATATATAAATAATATTGATGCCCTTGCATTATAAAAATATTTCATTGCAAATACAATCACATAAACGTCACAGTAGATAATTCCTTTGAAATGCATTATTTTATTTATAAGGCTATATCTTAGTGAAGTTCGGATTTAGAGAATGAAGTTGCAATTCTGCATGTGTTTTTTAAATTCCCAAACAATCTCAAACTTAAAGAAGAGTTGCCAGCAGTATAGTAAAAAGGACTATTTTTCCTGAATAATTTGACTGAGTGACAGATATTTTAGTATGTATTTCTTACAAATAAGAGCATTTTCCCATATAATCAGAGTGCAACTATCAAAATCAGGAAGATTATGCTACACTGTTACTGTTCTATTATTACCATCTAACCCTCACTCCCTTCAAGTTTCACCAGTTGTACTAATAATATCTTTTTTGGCAAATAATAGAAGAATAATATAATTTATACTTTACATCATCATCTCTTTTTTTTTTGTTTATTTTCCGGTACTGGAAATCGAACTCACGACCTTGCACTTGCCAGGCAGGCTCTGTGCTGCTGAGCTAAATCCCCAGCCCCTACATCATCATCTCTTTAGTCTCCTTCAGTCTAGAATAGTTCTTTAGCACTTGATAATACAGAAAAAGCATGTTTTTCTTACTGCATTCTATCAGGTGGCACTCAGTTTCATTTATCTCATTATCTGTGGTGTTCACTTCGGTCACTTAAAGTGGTATCTTTCAACCTAATTACTCCTTTGTGCTTTAAAAGTATTTAATGAGG